GATGTCCGGAGTGCCTGGCGGGCCAGGATGAGCTCCAGCCAAGTTCCTGCACGTTGGCCTGCTTGCGGATGCCCAGTGCCCCTGAGGGTGGCCCCTGTCAGTGTCCCTGCCATAAAGCCCGCTGGGAGAACCCGCCCCGGCCCCTGGAGCTGCGGCCTCCCTCCCCTGGTGATGCCGGAGCGCAAACCTGGAAGGCACCAGATGGCCCTGAGCCTCATTCCTGGCGGGAGCACGGAGAGTGCCTCCCCAAAGCGGTGTGGGCTGCCCTCGGTCCCCCAGGCCCCGAAGCGCCCCGCCTGTGCTTCTCCCCAAGACCCACGTGGAAACGCCTGCTGCAGCGGCCCCTCCTCCGGGGGACAGCGCTGGCCTGTCACCCGCTGCCACATTTTTCTGGGAAGATCATCCCTTCTCTGCCCATGAGCTTCCAGCGGGGGCAACCAGCCACCCTCCAACCCCGGCCACAGGTTTGGGACAGGACAGTCTTTCCCTGAGATTCTCTGAGTTGAAAATAGGAGAGGCAGCCCTCTTGGGTGGCAAAGCTGCGAGGTGGGAAGACAGGAGCTGCCTCCAGTGAGCAGTGGGTCTGCAAAGGAGAGTGGGAGACTCAAGGGCAGCGAGAGGGAGGGAAGGAGAGAAGGGGGGGGGGCGGGTGTGCCTGGATCCAGTTGTACCTGAAGCCAGCTCCATCCCTGCCCACTGCACAGTTTAGAGCCTGGAGCCACGAAGTCTCACTTTTGTCTGAGCTGCTTCCAGCAGGCCTGCTGTCCCTTACCGAGCGCAATACCGGGAAACGGCCAGGCCGCGCCCTGTGGGTGGGACACAGAGCACTGTCCTGTCTCTCTTTATCCCTGGGTTCTGGGACGCAGAGCATCAAGCACTGGGGTGGGGGTGGAGGGTGCTCCTAAACTGCTAGTCTGGGTTCAGCTGGGACTTAGCAACATAACTACTCAGCCAGCACCAGGGTCACCTGCTCGCTCTGTGCTGCGGCCTGTTTTACATTCTCCCCGCTGGACTGTGAACCCCAACAGGAACACTGGCCCCTTCTTCGGAAGTTTTCTCGTTTCTAAAACAAGGCTGCCACAGTGTCTGTTTCAGAGACGAGCTGGGAACCTGAGTGAACCCACACCAGGGGCTTTACTGCTCTTTTATAGGCTGTTTGTTTCCCCAGGCGGCCAGCCAGGCGCTCTGCACGGGCCAGGCCCCAGGTGGATGCTGTCACCTGTGCTCAGCAATGGAGGCGCAGCAAGGAGCGCTCCCGGGTGCATGGAGGGACACCAGGGACACACCGTAGGGGCCTGGGATCTCAGCGCCTGGCACAGTGGCTGCCCTGGGAGCCGGGGTAGCCCCCGCCCCTGGCTGCTGTGGAGGGCAGCCTGCGGCTCTTTCAGGCTCTGGGTTGTCATCGGAGCAGCGGCGCCTGCCTGGGAGCACAGGTGGGAGCCTGGCTGAGCCCTCCACCAGGTACCAGGGGCGGGACCTGCCGTGTTCTAGGGGCCGTGGGTGTGCTGGGTGCTGGCTACCGGGGGCACCAGGGCTTGCTGGAGCTCTGGCTTCCAGAGCTGCTCTTTTCTGGAAGCCCCCCCCCCTCCCGTCATTCCCTGGGCCCTCCAGTCTCTTCCAATCTCCCTACCTCCCCAAGCAGCACCCCAAGTCCTGTCGGGGGCTCTTGTGGTCTGACCGGGTCTTTTTATTGGAGAAGGGCTGTCTGTGGACCCCTGCCCTCTCCCCTTTGGAAGACTGTCGAGGCCAGGCATGTGCGCCCCCGCCCCCACCCGGTGCTGTGCTGGGGTACAGTCTCTCCGGATATTCCCGCGGACTTGCTGCGTGCGGTGCTAGGACTGGAGGGAGGGGCGCTGAGTGGAGGAGGATGCCCCTTAGAGCGTCGGTGTGGGGGCAGTGCGCTCGGCTGGTTGGTCCCGTGTGGCGCGCAGTGCGATGCCAGGGCTGTGCTGGTCTTGTGCGCCATGCCTCAGTGCGAGAGGCAGATGGCGGTGGGTTGTTTTGGGTCACTGCGGACCGTGCTAGGGGCGGCTGCCCTGCTTCCTGGGCCCTGGAAAGATCAGGGGAGCGGACACCCCTCCTCTGGGAGCTCCAGAGCGCTCCGCCCCCGCCCCTCCGTCACTGCGCCCCATGCGATGTCGCTGGGCGCAGCTGGAGCTCAGAAACCCTGGCAGACAGAGAGCCCTGGTCGGGGTCCTGTGGAGTTCCGAGCCCTACGGACCTGGAGAGAGTGGGGCGGAGGCTCCCAAGCCCCTGAGCGGCCGGGCCCTGCCGTGCCTAGGTCGGCGCTCCCAACAAAGGCGGCCGGCCACGTGCCGCTCCGCGAGGCAGGCTTGGGGCGGGGACGCGCGCAGCCCCAGCCACGCGCCCCCGTCGGGGCAGGACCCACGCGCGGCGCGGCGCCCAGGTGCGAGCCTAGCCGCCCCCCGCAGTGCCGTCGCCCCCGGCTCGGCCTCGCCCACTCCCTGCCTCAGTTGCTGCAAGGCGGGGAAGCGGCACTAGGGGGAGCTCTGGCAACTGGCTTGGTGGATTGAGTCAAAAGCAAGCATCCAACAGCGCTGCCTTCAGCCGGGAAAGATGGGGAGTGGGGAGACACACGCCCCCCACCCCGGAAGCTCCCGACCCTTCCCGGGGGTGCCGAGAAACAGCTCGTGTGTGTGTGTGTGTGTGTGTGTGTGTGTGTGTGTGTGTGAAGGTAGTGCCTTTCCTTCCTGTAACTCACGCCTCCAAAGCCTCCCTCTCCCCCCACCCCCATCGCGGACCTTGGCGGCCCCCCGCGCTCAGAGTGTCCCCAAGAACTTCGTCTCGCGCTACACCGGGACCCAGAGCCGAGAGGACCCCTAGGACTGGCTTGCGTTTGCCTGTCGGAGTCTGGGGTGGGGCCTCGAAAGCAGCCTCTCCTCTCTCTGCGGGGGGGGGGGGGGCGTGAGTGCTGCGGGCGGGGGGGGGTGGCTGGTGCGGGAAAGGGGAGCGCAGGGGCGAGGCAGCGAGCGCGAGAGCATTGGGGAGACAGCGCGCCACAGAGACCGAGAGACACAGCAAACAGACAGCAAGCAGCCACTTCAGTTTTTCCCTTCCTTCTTTTTCCCCCGTCTTTCTCTGCTACCCCCCGTTTGCAAAGCTGGAACCACCCCGCGCGCCCCCGGGCCCGAGCCGCGGCTCCAGATGCGAGTTGGTTCCAGCGGGGAGAAGGCGAGCTTGCTCCTCGGGGCCTTGGCACAGTCTCCCACTCTGAGGTCATTCCGTAGGTGGTCAGAGGGGAGAGCGCGCCCGGAGCCTTCCTGCTCCATCCACGGGGGAGGGAGAGAGGCGGGCGGAGCGAGGGGAGAGGGAGAGGGGAGGGGCGCGAGGAGGGAGGGAGCCGCCGCCAGCACACCACCAAGTGGCACGGAGCAGTGATAACAAACTCAACTTAAAAAAAAAAAAAGAAAGAAAGAAAAGAAAACGAAAAACTTCCCCAAGTTCCAGCCTAGACGTGCGACTTGCGACGTGCGGGCGGAGGCAAGGAGCCGGAGGGGGCGTGGCCCAGAGCCCCTCCCCCACCCCACCCGCCTCCCGGCTGCTCTTCCCGGCTGCAGCGAGAGCTCAGACTTGAGGCCAACCAGGCCCTGGGTCCCTGACGGGGCAGGAAATGTGCTGCAGGCTGGCTGGGCTTCCTGCAGGCGACCCGGGACGGCCGGGGTGTTTTTTTCTTTGGAGGGGGGCAGTCTCTTTTCGGGAGGGGGCCCCCTACCCCGAGGCCCGCAGCACTGGCTTCATCCCCAACAACCAGCCTCCCCCACTCCCTCCTGCTCCCACTCCTGGCCCTGCCCGTCTAAAGCCAGGAGAGCTGGGAGGGGTCTCTCCCCCCTCCCTCAATGCTCCCCACCTCCAGGCCGACCTGAAAACAAGGCACCGCCATCCTCTATAATCGACTTTTTATTAAGGTTATAAATTTAAACAATCTGAACAGTTTTACCCGGTGATGTACAATTTCAGTATGCACGAAAATACAGGGGGCGGAGGGAGAAGGGCCGAGAAGGGAAGGGTTGGCAACTGGTTTTGGAGTTCACATGTGGCTGATGGCAGAGAACCCGAGGGGCTGCAGACGCCCACCTTTTTACAACAAGAGGCTCTAAATTAAACAAAATCTATCGAGCTGAAGACACAGGACGGGGTTACCACAGGCTCGAACAATGCTGGTTTCATGAAATGCAACCGAAGGCTGAACCGGGACCGCGAAACTTAGAAGCACAGACACAAACACCACATCTGAGCAGGAACTTGGTGAAGTCTCCGACGCAGGCGGCGGTCCCGGCCCCGCCCTCCCTCCCTCCCTCCGGGCCGCCGGGGATCCAGGTGAAGGAATCGACTTCCTTTTTTGTTTGGTGAGGACCGCAGTGCGGGGCATGATGGGAAATGTAGTCCGAGGTGCCCGCCCCCCACCCCGTCCCCAAACAGTGTCCGAGAGTGTCGGGGTGTCCGGCGCCACCCCTGAGTCCAGGAGACGAGCGGAGGAGGGGAAGAGAACGGAGCCAGAAGGGCGGGGAGGAGGGGTTCAAGACACCCGCCGGGAAAAAAAGAAAAAAAAAGTTGAAGTGTTTTCATTTCTGCCTTCTCATTTTGCGAACTTTGGAGGCCGCCCCCAGAGAGGAAATGTGACCCAAACGTCCCTTTCGGAGATAGAATTTGCCTTTGTTTTTGCTGAGGATTTCACAAGACCCGTTCCTCACCCCGTGGAGGGACTCGGGAGGACCCAGCGCCGGGCTTCCTGGGTCTGACAACCGATTGGGATCAGCGTCCCGGGCCCAGCGCCCTCCTGCGCGGCGCCCCCGGCGCGCCCGGCCTCGCCCCCGGCTGCCCCGCACCTCCTCCGGGCAACAGCCCTCCCTCACGTGGCTGGCTCCTCGCTAAACACCACTGCAATCTCTACAATAAAAAGAAAGAAAAAAACAGGAGGAGAAACACAAAGCATACTTAAATAGGCGCTTTTTCTCTCTGTAAAAATAAAGTCCAAGATCTTAAGATTTCTTTTTTTTTTATTTTACAATTTATAAAACATTCGCCGCCTTCCCCTGCTTGTCCCCACGCTCAGCCCCGAGTGGCCGGGCACCCGTTCCTTCCCTCCTCTCGCCCCCTTGGCCGAGTCTTTGTCTGGCCCCAGCCCCGCGGGACCCCGGGTCCCCGTGCCCTCGGGGGTCCCTAGAAGGCGACAATGGCTCGAGTCCAGGCGCCGAGGCTGGCGAGCGCCTGCTTGGCGCACAGCTGCCCGTTGAGCGGTGGCGGCTGCTCCGAGGAGTCCGGCTGTCGGCTCACCAGCCCCGAGAAGCCTGAGCCAAAGATGGAGATCAAGTTTGAGATGTTGGACGCGTCCGGGGACGAGTCCGGGCAAAAGTCCTCGAAGCGGGCGCGCTTGCAGGGGGCGAACAGGGCGCCCCCGGGGGGCTCGGCTCCCAGGTCGCCCGCGTCCTCGTCGTCCTCCTCCTCCTGGCCAGGGTAATACTTGCGCTTGCAGCCGGCGGCGGAAGCCAGGCCGGGTCCCGGGGCGCCGTGGCCACAGCAGGGGCAGTGGGCGGAGGCGCAGCAGTCCTGGTGCAAGTAGCCGTTCTCCACCGTGGTCACCACGTGAGTGTCCAGGTCCAGCACGGTGGTCTGGCTGCTGCAGTGCACGCCGAAGTCCGAGGGGGCCGGGTACGCGCTCCGGTAGAAGCCAGGGGAGGAGGCGGGGGCCGGGGAGGCGGGAGGGGAGGCGGCGGCGGCAGCCTGAGGGGCGGCCCCTGGGGGCGCGGAGCAGGCGGCTGAGGCGCGAGGGTCCCGCGGGCAGAGCGCGGCGGGCGCGGGCGGAGGCAGAGGCGCAGGACTCGGCTGCAGCGGCTCCAAGGGCTGCCCGCGGTGGGGCGCGCCGTGCGGCGGCTGGAGCGCGGCGCAACCGGGCAGCTCCGAGAGCGCCCCCGCGCCGCCCGCGGGCACCCCGGCCGCCGCCGCCGCGCAGCCCCTGGGCGCCGGGTGCTGGTGCTGGTGCAGCTGCTGCTGGAGGTGCAGCTGGTGGAGCTGGTGAAGCTGGTGCAGCTGGTGCCGGGCGGCCGGCTCGCGCGCCTCCGCGTCCCCGCCGCCACCAAGTTGGAGCGGGCCGAAGTCGGCCGCGCTGGCCTGCATGCCCGGCGCCGCGTACGGGAGGTGCTGGTGCTGGTGGTGAGGCGGCTGCTGCTGTTGCTGCTGCTGCTGGCGCCGGTAGAGCTCGGCGTAGCGCTCGCTCAGGTAGAGCTGGCGCGCGTTGCGGAGCACGTAGGATACCAGGAGGTTCTTGTGCAGCTTGATGCCGCCGCGCTGGGTCCGGGAGCTGTGGATCTTGCGCAGGGAGATGCTGATCAGGCTCTGGGCGTCCAGGGCGCACTCCATGCTCCCGCGGAGACGGCTGCGGCGGAGCAGCCGCGGCCGCTGCTGCTCCTAATGCGGCTGCTGTTTCGGCCTCCAGCCGGCCGCCGGGGCGCGCTGGGCAGGGGAAACGGAGCCCGGATCAGCGGGTCGGCTGCGCTCCGAGAGGAGCTGCCACCATGCGCTGCGCGCCAACCGCAGGACCGTGCTCCCCAGACGGCGCCAAAGCAATGAGCCTCGGCCGGCCCGGCCCCAGCTATTTAGCCGGGCGTCCGGATTCCGCCCCATACCCGATAAGCCAATCGGAGTGCCCAGAGCCTCCCGAGTGACAGGCGCTGCCCGCCCCGGGGCCACGGGGCTGGCCAATCAGACCAAGGCGGTTCCTTTGTGCTATTCAAATACCGAACAGACCCCGGGCTTCTAACGCCGCTGCTGCCTCGAATGTTCTCCTGGGGCCGCGGCGCTGCGCGGGACTCGGAGGCGCTGGGGCTGCTGCCTGCAACGTGGGCCCCTCTCAGCAGCCACGCTGGAGCCGCGGCCGCCCTCGGCACAGCCTCTCGGAGCCGGGGTGAGCTCATGAGCGTGCCGCGGGGACGCCCCCTCCCCCACCCGCCCGGCTGGTCCTCACCTGCGGCAGGTGCGCATGGCTCCCCGCTCCCGGCCAAACCGCACTTCTTTTCTCACCCTGTCCACCCCGGGTGACCCGCGAGCGCCAAGGCCTTTGCAGGAGCCTGGGGGGGTTGGGGGGCGCCGGCTTGACCTTGAGGGGCCCTCGCGGGAGAAAGGTTTGGAGGTACCCAACCATCTCAAATGTTGGGCCTGACTCTTCGACTTTTTTGGCCGAGGAGCCGCAGGGAATGAATCCTCGGGGAAGGGCCGTTTCCCCATCTGCCTGACGGGAAAAACACAGCCTCGTGAATTTGGTCTCCTCTGAGTCATGCCCCACCGAGTGCCTGGGCCCTGCCACCTGCTGAGGCCCAGAGCGCGTGAGTGAGAGCGAGGCGAGAGCCCTAACCGCTGTGCGGTACCCTTCCCTTCCTCACTGATCAGGACCCTAGGGGCCCTTACTGTGTTCCTAGGATGGGGCAGGCCCTGGCCAGAAACGCCCGCCGCCCTCACTGTGGCTGCCTGCAGAGCAGGACCCAGTCTCCGGGGGCAGCCCGGCTGGGAAGGGGCAGAGCGGGGTCTGGCCAGGACTGGGAGCCCCAGGCAGGAGGCCTGTACCGAGGGCCGCAACTTGACAACTTATTTCTGTTGACATTTTCCCTTCTTGTGCCGAACCATTCGTGGGCCCCCTCCTCCCAGCTGGGGACTGAGACATCGGACAGGGGGACAGGGCTATGATCTCTGGGGCGCTCTAGACTGGGGGGCCTGGAAGGACGGGGGTTGCTGCTCTGAGAGGGGGGTCCAAGGTGCCTTGGGTGGTCAGGAGGTTTGCTGGAGGAGGGGTCCTTGAGTTGGCCCTTTAACGGAGAAAGGGCCTCACATAGACCGAGAGCAGGTGGGCCCTGTGGGGGCCGGGGTGGGGCAGAGCGAGCTCCCTGCTGCTTCACCCTCTCCTCGGGGTTTCTTCCGCGTCCCCTCTTTCCTGGGGCTGTTGTCCTCGGCACCAGCTTCGTCCCTCGGCCGAGAGAAGAGGCGCAGCCAGCCCATCCTGCCGTTTCTGGGTCTCTCTTCAGTCTTCTTTTCACATCCTTACCCAAGAATATGTTTTTATTGAGTTTTTTAGAGAGAGAGAGGAAGGGAGGGAGAGAAACATTGATCGATTGCCTCCTATACCTGCCCTGACTGGAGATTGAACCGGCAACCTAGGTGTGTGCCCTGACCGGGAGGGACTCTAACCCGAGACCTTTTTTTGGTGCCCGGGAGGATGCTCCAACCTCCTGAGCCACCTGGCCAGAGCTCCCTTCAGAATTCCCCAGATTTATTTCCTCGAACAATTCTGCATCATCGACTCAGTGCCAGGAACAAGGGTTTAAACAAAGTTAGGGAGCATGTACTCCATTTTTCAGATGAGGAAACGGCTGACAGATGAGGGAACTGCCCACATCTCACAGCTCCAGGCCCAGTGCTGTGTCCTTCCCATGCTGCCATGGACCAGCTCGAACTGGCCGGAGCCCCTGTGACCAGCAGCGCCCCTGCCCTACCTCCACCCAGAGAAGCCAGATGGACTTTTTTCCAGGATTGCTATTTTAAGGGGACTACACAAAAAGGGCATCTTAATTCCGTTCTGTTGGTGATCTGGTGACAGGGACACAGGCCTGGAACTTGTAGGAATAAAAATATACTTACTTCCCTAGAGTCTGTGTTAAAGACACACAAAGGCTTCATGTGTTTGTTTTTGAAGTTCACTTTTTAAAAAATATATATTCTTATTAATTTCAGAGGGGAAGGAAGAGGGAGAGAGAGAAACATCAATGATGAGAGGGAATCATTGATCAGCTGCCTCCTGCACGCCCCCTACTGGGGATCGAGCCCGCAACCCGGGCATGTGCCCTTGGCCGGAATCGAACCCAGGACCCTTCAGTCCACAGGCTAATGCTCTATCCACTCAGCCAAACCAGCTAGGGCTGACGTTCACTTTTGAGACATCACTGGCATGTGGAGGGAAGCAGGAGGTCTTAGCTGGCCTTCCAGCCGTGAGGACGCTATACAACAGGCAGGTCTGGGGTCCATGGTGTCTGGCTCATTACAAGAGCCCATGAATGTATTATTATTATTATTATTATTATTTAAATATTTTTATTGAGTCCTGGCCAGTATTGCTCAGTGGGTAGTGTGTCAGCCTGTGGACTGAAGGGTCCCGGATTCGATTCCGGTCAAGGCCATGTACCTTGGTTGCAGGCACATCCCCAGTAGGGGGTGTGCAGGAGGCAGCTGATCGATGTTTCTCTCTCATCGATGTTTCTAACTCTCTCTCCTCAAAATCAGCCACTTGTTTCTGCCATCGGTGAATCTGAGTTCAGTTCTCAGGGCTCAACTCATGGTGAACATGACCTTGATTTGATTGACGCCCCACTACTTTCCTGCCAGCTGCTCTGAGACCAGGGCCTGCAGGAAGGAGTCCAGAAGAAGCCCATATCTGTCCCAGCCTCCGCTCATCATTCACAGCCATCCTTAGGGCTACACCTTGTCCCCTGGGGACCTAGCTGGGGAATCAGGCCAGGGATGGAAGTGGATTCTCTAGCCATGGGCTGGGGGCAGGGGAGGCAGGCCCTGGCTCCCTGGGTAGCTCCTCTGCCCCTTCCCAGGCCACCAGCTTCACTTCTGTCCCTAGGTGAGTTTGAGCTCTGCGAAGGCTCCCCCCCTCCCTGGGGTCAGCTGACACTGGGTCACCCGTGGGCAGGGCCCCATTCTCTGGGCCTTCTTTCTGGGGCCCTTGTTACTTGTCTCCCCTCCTTCTCAAGAATCAAGAGGTGGCCCAGTGGGGAGGGCCGAGCAGTTGTCTAGCTTAAGAAAACCCCTTGATCTCCTTTGGGGGTGGCCTGGAGGGGGAGTTGCCGCAGCTGTTGTAAGAAATATTTGCTGAAGGAGGCCGCGGAACAGCTGAGCCCATGGCGCCCCTGGGAGCAGTGAGGCTGGGGGCGCACAGTAGGAATTCGCAAGTGTTTGCAGAATGGGTGGGTCGCACGCGAGCCTCTGATTGAATGCTCGGTGGCTCAGAGCAGGATGCCACAGCCAGGGTGCATGTGTGTGGATGAGGTCCGTGTGCACCTGTGTGGGGAGGAGGGGGAGCGGGTCTGAGTGAGACACGGCTTCTTGGGGTGAAGGGCTGGCCGTATTTGTCTGGGCACCTGGGAAAGGCTGGGCGCTCACCTTCCCCCTGGAGCTGGGAGGGTAGTCTGGACTGAGTCAGAGCTCCCCGGGGAAGTTAATTCATGCCTAAGTATTGATGAGTGTCTGTTGGGCCAAACCCCAGGTGGTGTCAGCAGAGCCGTTAACACTTCGAAAATGACACATATGCCTTGTGGGCACCTTTTGGGCACCTCGCTTGGAGGAGGGAGTCTTGGCTCGGAAGGTTCCTTGGGCTCCCAGGGATTGGTTTGGGGAAGAGAGGGCAGCGGCAAAAAGCTTCACTAAGGGTGCTGTGCCAGGGGGAGGAGGTCGGGGGACAGATTTGGAATTCACGTTTGCATTTGTTTGGTCATTCGCCCAAGAGATGTTTCCAGAACCTTAATCTGGAATCCCTGCAGAGGGGAGAAGGGGCGAGAAGTGATCCTGCCCTCAGGAGGCCACATTCAGAGGGAAGCACACCAACAGACCAGATGACACAGTGATAAGTCTGTGACAGGAAGGAGTAGGGGCTGGAGGAAGGCAGGGGAGGGCTCCAGAGCTGGCCTGGGAAGCTGAGACTTGGGGTCCAAGGAGGGGGAGGGGCCTTCCAGCAGAGAGAAGAGCAAGGTGCTCATCACAGGGCCTGACACACAGTAGGCGCTCAGTATTTGTGGAATAAATCAGGCAATGGAAAGTCAGTATGCAGAAGACACGGTTAGAATTGTACGGGCCCTAGAGGTCAAGCTGCCCCCATCCCTAATTTCCAGATGGGTGAACTGAGGTCCTGAAAGGAGGAGGGATGCGCTAAGGCTGTTGGCCCCTGGAGCTGGGTCTGGAACCAGATGGCCCACCTCCCAGTTCAGCCTCTGGCTGCCCAGCTCTCTGTGGTTTGGATTGGGGTTGCTCCATGGGGACCGAGTCCTGGGACCATGGTCCTTGGCAGAGGGGTGATGGGGTGCAAAAGGGTGCCGGTGGGCGTGGCTGACCGCAGGGTCACTGTTGAGTTCTCTCCGAGGTGCTTGGGCATTCGGCAGCCCTGCACTGTGGCTGGTGGGCCCGGGAGTTCTGCTGGGGTCCTGGAGCCTGGCAGCCCCATCTCCTGCCCCACAACCTGTGCCCGCATCGTCCCAGGTGGAGCTTAATGGCCCACTAGTGTCTGCTCGCCCAGCCTGCCCCGGCAGCGGGCCCAGGGTCAGGACAGGTCTCATGGCCCCGGGTCTGAGCAGCCTGCCCCGGCAGCGGGCCCAGGGCCAGGACAGGTCTCATGGCCCCGGGTCTGAGTTCCTTACGTGCCGTGAGCAAGATTGCGAGCTGCTTGGCCTTTTGGAGCTCTTGCTCTGTGCCTGCTGCTGAGCCAAATGCCTCCGTGGGCTCCTGAGTCCTCCGCCAACCTCTGAGGCACGTTTGCTTGTCATTCCCATTTTAGGGACGAAGCACCTGGGGCACAGCGAGCTTCAGTGACTGCCTGGGTCA